TTTGGTCGGCTCCACCGTACACTAAGCCATTTCCATTTGGGCAAACCTCGAAGAAAGAAAGCATGCCGTGATGGCGCGGCCTATAAAGCTGTTGTTGGTCTCTCTGTAATCGCTTTTGCGACTCTGACGTCAGAAAAGATTGCTATCTCATTTGATATGTAGAGATGGGTGGGTAAAAAGACGATGAGAAGAGAACAAGAACGTTATTTGGCTTGTTGCTTTTATTTTTATACTTGTCTTTCGTTGGATTTTTTTCTTCTTCTTGATTTCACTTTCTTGCATTACTTGATTATCTCCCCTTGGTTTTCCTTCTTTTTTCTGAGTTATTTTTTTGCATACATTTACTTGATGTTCTAGTTTCTTTATTCATATACATGTTTTTTTTTAAGATATGAATAAATTCAAGTCTTCCTTTGTTTTTTTTTTCTTTCATCCTTCATCTTTTATTCGCCATTTTCAAAATCAGCTTCTTTTTTTTATCATTTTCAAAATACACTCAACTTTCAACGCATTTCTTAATTCAAAGTGTGATTACCAATCTTCCTCTTTTATGATATTGAGAAATCGGAATGCCGAGTTCGAGTCCTAGTCGAGTTCGTTACATTCAGTTACGTGAAAATACCATTGGGAAAAAATGTATGAATTCCTCTCTTCCCCCAGCTATGGGTTAAATAGAAAAAATTGTATCTGAAAAATCATGTCTATTCTGCAAAAAATGTTACATACAATATTTACTTGCAAAAAATAAAAGAATTATTCTCACAATCCAAATTATGTTTCGGCTTGAATTAACCCACAAGCGATTGTTAAGCGGTAAAAAAATAAAATCAATCTTCATCTCATAATTGTATGCGAAACTTGTTTTAAACGCATATCATCAAAAGAAACGTAATGTGTTAGCCTCACAAATCCTTGCTAGTATGATAGTCTTCTCTTGCTTTTAATATGTCCTGAGAGGTTTAAATTCTCCAAGGTTTCCATCAACATTTTCGGTTTTTAAAATTCTATTTATATCTTTCTGATTAGGAGCAGTTTCTGTCAGAGTACACACTTAAAACTGTCTATCATTGTCTGCATTCTCCGTCGATGAAGCAACGAATGAGAAATCTGAGAAACGTGTTCGATTTCTAGCTGTGTTTTTTTTACATTCACTTACGCGCAAATACTCTTGGGAAAGGTATGAATCCCTCGCCTCCCCTCAGCTATAATGATAGATAGATAGATAGATAGATTTTTTTTTTTTTTTTTAAGCATTTCACCCCAAGCAAGGCGGGAAGCCACTAGGACACAAGGGGTTACAGAAAATAGGAAGATCAGATAGGAGTGATAGAAGATAGGATGAGGGTAGTAGATAGATTAGGGCAACTGGAGATGTCGATTGACATTACACTTGAATAGCTGGAGATTATAACTCACAGGGAAACAGGAGATGGGAAGAGAGTTCCACAGGCGAGAGGTGCGAGACATGAAGCTATTAGAGTAGAAGAGACGGCTACATTTAGGAGTTTCGACAGTGAAGGGGTGAGAGCGGGATGCCAGCCTCATGAAGTCTGGGAACCAGTGAATGCAGCTCCTCGGAGCAATTTCCATGAAAGTATTTGTAGAACAGACAGAGGGAGGCGAAGGTGCGTCTGTGAGAAAGTGACTGTAGACGAGACGCCAGGGCAGGGCCAACCATATTGCATATCCGCCTCTGGAGCCTATCAAGAACCCCGAGGCAAACAGAAGGGGCGCCAGACCATATATGGCAGCAATACTCCATGCAAGGGCGAATTGTGGATTTGTATATCTGGAGGATCGACTCAGGGAGAAAAACTTCCTAGCACGGCTCAGGGGAGCTAACTTTCCTCGCAGTGGACGAGGCAATTGACTCGATGTATTTATTCCATCTCAGGTCAGCAGTCAACGTGAGACCGAGAAGCCGCAGAGAGATAGATTTAACATATTCCGGTATTTATTTAGCTTCATCAGAATTTTGGGGGATGTGGCATAATCTGTGACGAAGTTAAATAGCGAAACATTTTAAATTTTTAAAGGTTTTCCTAATGGTTACTTACTGGTCCTTATAACTGGTTCCCAAAAGCAGAAATGACTCAAAGTAATATATATATATATATATATATATATATATATATGTGTGTGTGTGTGTGTGTGTGTGTGTGTGTGTGTGTGTGTATGTGAATGTGTGTGTGTATGTATGTGTGCATATATATATATATATATATATATCTCGACTCTCCCGTCGAATTCGACGTATGAAGGTCAAGCAGATCAGTTCCCAGGAAACTGGCAGTACAACAACAGCACATGAGATATGATTATAGTGGTTAAGTTTTTGTGCAGAAACATCCATACTTTTTGAAGGGCCGAATACAGAGACCTGGTGCACTAAGTACCACAAGGTCCCCAAACGACCCTCTGCAGGTTTTAAATTCAGAGTTGTCCTTCTCCTAGACTAGTTGCCATCCAAGACTATACAACCCAGTCTGTCTTGCTATTTACCCATAGCTGGAGATAGAAGAAGAGGATTCACACCTTTCCCAAGGGTATTAAGGGTATTAGCACTTAAGTGAATGTAATGGATTCGACTGGAATTCAAACTCGGCTCTCCGATTCCTCAATCCAAGCCGCTATCCATTACCCTACGTATGTATGCAAAACGGAATATGTCTCTGTGAGTGTGTCTCAGTGTGTGTGTTTATCTGTCTTTGTATTCTATGCACGTCCACATTTCTCGACGAATTTCGATGAAAATATACACACATTTTGCAAATTTATCAAGCTAGGTCAAGATCAACGTTTCAATCTCGGGGGCACCGGGGTTTGTCAGAAAAAATCAATAAAAATGAAGGTGGGTACGAATTTTTGCAAAAACCAAGGCAAAGTTACAAGCTAACAAAATTTGTACTGGATGACCTGATGTTCTTTGCACTTAATGCAAAAGATCAGCTCATGTTGCGAGGTTTATGTAGAGTGTTTGATAGTTTTCCTTCGACATTGGCTTCACACAAAAAATTGCAAAAAAAATGAGAAAAAAAATCGTGTTTTTGTTCGACTTAAAATAAAAAACTAGAAGAACTTCCTCATTTTTATTCGATTTTCTTCAAACATGTCGCAAAAAAATTGCCATCATGTAAGAAATAAGATGTCGTTTTAGTCCTGCTCGCTTCCCCACGTATAAGGAAAAACGGTTCAAAAACCCATTTTAGGGCAATAGCTCCCTGGTTTTTCATTCGAGGCTTTCCAAATTTGTCATGGGAATTACATATGGCACACAAATTTCCTTGCATAAATGTTTGGTTTACATTATTTCAGTTAAGTGGACGAAATCTAAGACAAACTAGGTCCAAAATCGGCCTTTGCCATCTAACCAATATTTGCTTCATAATTTTCCATCCCAAATTGGCATTCGAAGAACCTTTAATGTCAAGATTGTTTGAGAAGGATTATTGAAGCATTAAAAACATTCTCGAATCACCTCTTATTAACCCTAGATTTACAGTAAACGAGCGAAGGAGGAGGGGAGTGTTCATGCGTTTGCACTTGTAGTTGAATCATGCTTTGAAGCTTCATCCCTGTTTTTAATTGTTTATTAGATTTGTAAACAATGCCATATTATTTGAAACTTATTACGCCCATAGGAAATTTACTGAATATCTAAAACATTGAAACAATTTAACCCAGAAAAACGACCTCACAGGAAGGTTTTATCGACGAAATTCCTTTATTAAGAACAAACACTCGCGAAGGACATACTGTGAAAAAGATGAGGGGAGGAAGTAGGTTAGTATACAAAAGGATGATGCATGCAAGCGGGGAGGCAGGCAGTCATTTCTGGACAGTGGGGTGCGGGTATACAGGGGTGTGCTGTTATACAATTGCAGCCATGCACACAGGGACAACGCCGATCACACCGATCTACAAAGAGAGCTCAATGTATTTATTCAGCAGAGCATATAAATTACATACAATAGGAATTATAATTACTTCATGTTATGATCATTTCATTTCCTGATAGAAACTGAGGTGAATATTCTAATATAAGTCAAGGCCACGTCTACATCCTCCTTTCTCTCTTTCTTCCTCTTTCTTTTTGTCTTTTCACTATTCCTTTGTCCTTTCCTTTTTTTCCTTTTTCTTCCCTTCTTTTCCTCTGCCTTGTTTTAAAATTTGCTTTAGCCCTGGTTTCATCTAATTTAGTTTTATGTTATTAACTTGATCGGTTTGAAAATCCTTACAGGTAATCTCAATCTGTAAGGTGAAATGATCATAACATGAGGTAATTTTAATTCCTACTCTGTGTGTGTGTGTGTGTGTGTGTGTGTGTGTGTCTGTGTGTGTGTGTGTGTGTGTGTGTGCGAAAGTCGACAACACTTGTGACCGCTTCATTTCTTTTTAAATATTACTAATGTTTGGAGGAGTAGTTTAACGAAATGTTCACACGTTTACTACAATCGTGTCTGTCAAGTGAGTATATAAGAGGGAGTGCTTGAATTGGAAGTCATATCTTTTCCCAGAATAGTAATAATGAAAGCCGAAATCTGATAGAAGTATCAGAAAAGATAGTGAAAGAAAACAAGTAAAAGGTCCATTACCTGTAGGGAGACAGTAAGCACGATTAACGGCGAAAGGGATAACCTAAGCGACGTACCTGACACGCCAGAATCAAGCCGCTGCAGAAATTTAACAGGTGTGCTGCAGAAATCCGACCCTGTATATGAATATCGAAATATGTCTTTTAGAAACTAAGCAAAATATTCAAAGACCGGAATATGTGCTTAACACGAAAAAAAGTCTAAGTTAATTTTGGATCATTATGAGGAAAAGATCCAGAATTAATGTTTGAGTAAAGAACTGAAATGCTGTGGATTTACCTCAAAATGTTGACTATTCTATGGACAACCTGAAGTAGAAACTATATAGACACTAACATAAAAGAAAGAAAAAAGGAAGTAGATGTGTAAAATAGAAATGACAGAAAAATTAAATCAGTCAGTAGTTCATATTTTTGATAGATAGATAGGAACAGACTGATATATAGACGAGGATAGATAAATAGATAGATAGATAGATAGATAGGAACAGACTGATATATGAACAGACGAGGATAGATAGATAGATAGATAGATAGATAGATAGGAACAGGCTGATATATAAACTGACGAGAATAGATAGATAGATAGATAGATAGATAGATAGATAGATAGATAGATAGATAGGAACAGACTGATATAGAAACAGACGAGGATAGATAGATAGATAGATAAATAGATAGATAGACAGATAGGAACAGACTGATATATGGACAGACGAGGATAGATAGATAGATAGATGGACAGACGAGGATAGATAGATAGATAGATAGATAGACGAGGATAGATAGATAGATAGATAGATAGATAGATAGATAGATAGGAACAGACTGATATATAGACGAGGATAGATAGATAGATAGATAGATAGATAGATAGATAGATAGATAGATAGATAGGAACAGACTGGTATATGGACAGTCGAGGATAGATAGATAGATAGATAGATAGATAGATAGATAGATAGATAGATAGATAGATAGGAACAGACTGATATATGGACAGACGAGGATAGATAGATAGATAGATAGATAGATAGATAGATAGATAGGAACAGGCTGATATATAAACTGACGGGAATAGATAGATAGATAGATAGATAGATAGATAGATAGATAGATAGATAGGAACAGACTGATATAGAAACAGACGAGGATAGATAGATAGATAAATAGATAGATAGATAGGAACAGACTGATACATGGACAGACGAGGATAGATAGATAGATAGATAGATAGATAGATAGATGAATAGGAACAGGCTGATATATAAACTGACGGGGAATAGATAGATAGATAGATAGATAGATAGATAGATAGATAGATAGATAGATAGATAGATGAGGATAGATAGATAGATAGATAGATAGATAGATAGGAACAGACTGATATAGAAACAGACGAGGATAGATAGATAGATAAATAGATAGATAGATAGGAACAGACTGATACATGGACAGACGAGGATAGATAGATAGATAGATAGATAGATAGATAGATGGACAGACGAGGATAGATAGATAGATAGATAGATAGATAGATAGATAGATAGGAACAGACTGATATATGAACAGACGAGGATAGATAGATAGATAGATAGATAGATAGATAGATAGATAGATAGATAGATAGGAACAGGCTGATATATAAACTGACGAGAATAGATAGATAGATAGATAGATGGACAGACGAGGATAGATAGATAGATAGATAGATAGATAGGAACAGACTGATATATAAACAGACGAGGATAGATAGATAGATAGATAGATAGATAGATAGATAGATAGGAACAGACTGATATATGGACAGACGTGGATAGATAGATAGATATATGGACAGACGAGGATAGATAGATAGATAGATAGATAGATAGATAGATGATATAGTAACAGACTGATATATGAACAGACGAGAATAGATAGATAGATAGATAGATAGATAGATAGATAGATAGATAGATAGATCTGGTGTAACAGCAAAAGTGTTCAAATCGTGGAAGAACAAAATTGTTTAATTGTTAGATCAAGCTCCGAACCGTTAGAAATGATTAAAGATATCTTACTGGAATTCTCCGTGGTGTTTATAACTTTATTGTACTCTACTTTGAGCAATAAGAACGTATAATTACTCTCCAAGCTTAACAGAAGAATCGTGATGAAATCGATCAGAAACGAAAATGACATGTTCATCATTAATCCAAGCAAAAGATCGGAAGCTAATGGAGGATTGAAATAAAATTCAAATATATATATTATTCCAGGATCATTTTCAAACTTATTCAGGATGATCTTCGACCTCTCTAACCTTCTAACTTTCTGTCCTGGCGTAACAAGGTGTGTCACAGGTTTCATGTACGATTTCATTTTCAAGTCTTTTTTCATTGCTCTTTGGTCTGCCATACCTGACACTTCCCCTCACGTGCGAAACATCTTGAAAATTGAATTGGATCTTTTCTAATTGATCTCTTTAGATCTAAGTTGAAATGATGATGTCTCCTCCTGTTGTGACCTCCTGATCCAGAATTTCTCTCTACTGTTACCTCTTTTTTAACATTCACCGTTCTCTTGATGGTTCTTGAATGAACGCCAGAGTATGAATGTTGCTACCATTACTGAAGGCCTGAATGATCTTATTTCTATCAACGTTGCTCACTTGAGAAGACAATTGTGCTGACTCAAAACGATCTTAGCCTGTTCTTTATTTAGCTGAATAAGTTAATCGGTTTTTCAGTGATTCTTACGACAAAAGATGTCAAGATGGTTAAACCGCTTATCTGATAACCGGAAAAAAGAAACTCAATTCGGTTAGGCATTTTTTAGATATTAAACATTTTGTAGGATGGATACTTGGTGTTACACGATTTGGACAATTTTTGCTGTTACACAATATATATATATATATATATATATATATATATATATATATATATATATATATATATATGAAAATATGATATACATTGGGTCCACGAAAAATAATTTTAAAGATAGATGGAGGCAGCATAAGTGCTCCTTTAATAATATAAACAACAGAAATCAGACTCCACTATCAAAATATTTTTGGCACCTGAAGGAAACAAATAGAACACCAAAAGTTAAATGGAAAATCATTGACAAGGCCAGAATATGTAAAGCTTGGAATGACCCATGCCCTTTGTGCCTCCATGAAAAATTACACATTATTAAACTTCTAAATAATAATAATCTATTAAATAATAGACACGAGTTAACGGTTTTTTGTAGGCATCATCAGATTTTTGGTTTGAATCATTAGTTAAAATAAAATAAAAAATTATAATAACTTGTTTAACAAATAGCCCAATCATCAGATTCACAGTAGGAATAATTAACTACAAACTTGCATACAACATAGCACCCTTCATAATCCATAGCCCAAATAAGTAGTTTAAATACCTTACATAATAGATAACCCTTTATAAGTCGTCAAAAAACAAACGTTACTAAAGTTTTTCTTTTTTTTTATATGCACAATTCCCTTTCATAATAAAATAAAATAAAATAAATAAATAAATAAATCTCCATAGACAAACAAACTAGACGAAGGTTTATACATCTTCCGTTTCATTTTAGCCACTCCCACCTTTCCCCGACTTGACATCTTGAAAGTATCTCTATACCGCTACTTATTATAAACACCCTACACTCGCCTACACAATTTAAACAATTCGCCCTTGCTGTTAGAATGGAGATTTTGATTTCAATTTTTAAAACAAGTAAATTTCAGATATACGTTATTCCAACAAAAATTTCGCTTGAAGATGGAACGGAGCCCATTTTAATTTAAACTCAATTTAATTTAAAGGATTATATTGAAGTTTTCGGCTCTTGTTTTGAAACATGAGACTTCTTATGTAGCGATTTGGAATCATATTTTTAAATAAATAATTATATATATATATATATATATATATATATATATATATATATATATAGAGAGAGAGAGAGAGAGAGAGAGAGAGAGAGAGAGAGAGAGAGAGAAAGATTAACAGATTATTATTTTTAGCTGAACGTCCTGAGGTTGATATTTGGGGTCAGATGGAAGACAAAACAAGGAAGTCGATTTTGTTTAACTGCGTTATCGGGAGAATGATACGTAGAGAAAGGGATTTAAAGGAGTCGAGTTTTAATCGTCGAACAATATAGACATATTTTTCTTTCGTGTCTGGAAACGTTTCTCAAGTTGGGGAGAGCACCCCCACTGGATATTTAGAAAATATATACGTCGACGTTAATAAACTAGTTAAAATCAACTGTGTTATGGTTCTATTATCTCCGTATCAAAACAACTAGCGACCACGGTCTGGGAGAAGACGAAAGAGAGAAGAATGAAACAGATAGATAGATAGATAGATAGATAGATAGATAGATAGATACGAACAGACTGAAATAGATATATACATACATACATACATAGTATATGATCTGAGGGAAATACATACATAGATAAATAGATAGATATGAATAAACTGAAATATATAGATATATAGTCAGATTGATAGTAACAGATTGAAATGTATAGATAAATGTATAGATAGAGAGAGAGCGAAATCTAGTATATGAACATAGTGAAATAAATACATAAACAAATAGATAAATATGAATAAATATGAATAAACTGTTTACATAGTGGATCACCAAGCAACGATAAACACGCGCATATAAGACGCAAGAAACGAAAATCGCACCGCATCTCATGACGTCATGAGATGCGGTGCGATTTTCGTGTTCGTATATTGTTTAATATGTTTGTGATTTACATCTTTGATAATCGCTTAAGTAAGCTGAAAGCTTAGATTATATTAAAAAATATGGATCAATATTGTGAATTTCTTTCTTCGTTTAATGATAATGTTATCAAACTTATCAGATGTTACGAACAAATTTTACATAAAATAAATAGACAACACTTGTCTATATTATTTAATGAAACGTGTATAAATGAAAATATGCTGCCTAAATACACACAATATATATATATATATATATATATATATATATAAAATATGCTGCCTAAATATATATATATATATATATATATATATATATATATATATATATATATATATATATTTAGGCAGCATATTTTAATTCAAACAGGTTTGTTTAAATAATTAAGACATATCATGTCGATAGATAGATAGATAAATAAGAACAGACTGAAATAGATAGATGCATACATACATAGTATATGAACAGAGTGAAATAGATACAGAGATAAATAGATAGATATGAATAAAATGAGATAGATAGATAGATAGATAGATAGATAGATAGATAGATAGATAATGAGCTTAACGACTTCGGTAGGTACGTATGAAGATCTACAAATTGAGAAAAAATAGAAAGTTATAAGTAAAACCTTAAGAAATATTCTAAACTAAAAAAAAATATCGCAAATACAACTTCTCAGAGATGAAAGTAGTGAATCTACTACCAAAAATGATAAGTAAAAAAACTATTTAAAAATGTCAGATATGCAGCAAAAAACAAAAACAAAAAAATGTCCTGTAAGAAAGTAAATCCCGAAACATAAAAACGCTGGATTATTTTGATATCCGCTTAGCGTACATATTAATATCCGCCCATAAGATTTTTTCTTCTTTTAGTAGAAGAGACTGTGGACCCGGTCGCCAAACGCGATGGATAGGAAGTCAAATCGTCGTAATAACACGATCTTGGCGGCGGCTGTCTTTTCTATTGTCTTTTTGTTTGTTTGTTTTTTTTCTCTCTTTTTATGAGATTTCTCAGGTTGGTTTTTACGAGCGAGAGACAGAAAGTGGGAATTTTGTTTCATCGCTATGGATATGCTCGAGGATTTAATACTGAGAAGGTCACATGCGTCCCTAAAGCACCTTGTCTGGCATTCGGAAAGTAGGTTTCGCTGGTGAGAAAAATGGCATGAAAATAACATGAAAAAAAAATTTATTTATTTCTTTTTGCTTGACGGCAGCGAAGGGTGGGAAAACAAAACGGTTCAAGAAAAATAATAAGGTAGGTAAATTTGCAGATAAAGGGAAACTAACAAACATAACCAATCAAAGAATACACACACACACACACACACAAGCATATATATATATATATATATATATATATATATATATATATATATATATATATATATATATATATAAAATATGCTGCCTAAATATATATATATATATATATATATATATATATATATATATATATATTTAGGCAGCATATTTTAATTCAAACAGGTATTCTTTAAATAATTAAGACATATCATGTCGATTAGTTTCGTTGTGAGTTTACGAAGAAATTATTCCGCGAACTTCAAATGATCACAACGAAAACTGATCGATATGATATTGTAAATTATTTAACCACACCTGTTTATATATATATATATATATATATATATATATATAGAGAGAGAGAGAGAGAGAGAGAGAGAGAGAGAGAGAGAGAGTGAGAGAGATGGTGGTCTGAGAGTCTTGTTATCCCATAATATAATTTTTCTGACACGGGATCCCACAGTTTGGAAGAAAAGCTTCTCGGTGTGTGACAGCGTCAATAAAAGTGAATAAACTGAATCCAGTACATTTGCTTTATATTACTGCATTACTTGTTGGTCTATTGTTCTCATTACTTTTTTGGTATGGAGGTGACAATACGCTCGGACCACCCTGTATATATATCAGGGGTGGCCAAACCGCGGCTCGCGAGCCACATGCAGCTCTTTGACCTTTAATATGCGGCACGTGGAAATGTGTAGGCTGAGCTCCTTTTTTCATCACAGTTAATGCAAAAGGTATATAAGAAGAAAATTCAAGGTTTATAATTATGGACTGGGTATAAATTCAGGCCCTATTGGAATAATACGTGAGTTTAATATTCATGTTCAGTAAAAATATTTGAATCCTAATTTTAATGCAAGATCTGTGTGATGCATTTTTCTTTAGTTCTGAGGGAAGGAATGGTGAGTGGCAGAGAGAATAAAGAAGTTTCCGGTCAGAAAAGGTTACAGAGGAATGTCAGAAAACTGAGGTATGTATAAATGGATTAAAGATTTCGGTTCGCCAGGGAAGTGAGATTATTTACCTCTGTATGTTTCAAAAAAGTATGTCTAAATGTTGTTCATATCTTTAGGCTCTCAAACATCTGAACTATATCGTACATGGCTCTTACATTAAGCAAGTTTGCCCACCGCTGATATATATATATATATATATATATATATATATATATATATATATATATATATATATATATATATATAAAAAAAGAACAGTAAGATATATAATCCGGTGTTCTTACAGATATTTTTATTTTTACAAAATAGTGCTCAATGTAAATTTACAGAGCATTAATATTATAAATTAACTGATTTAAAATGTGTGTTTTTCGCTACACAGTTCTAACCATGTTTCAAAAATGGAAGCTAAAAGCCTCGAATTTAATTTTGTAATTAAATTAAAGACATCAGTTCCATTTCACCCTCAAGCGAATTTTGGAGTAGCTTATTACTGGATTTTAAAAGCACATCAAAAATCTTAATTCACGTTTCCAAGGATACAGAGAAATCCAATTCAACCAGACAAGGGGTGTTTGCGTGTTCATTATCGCTGTATTTTGATGTATCAGTTATTAGTTACGTTTTGGTAGGGGTAGGGATGTATTTTTCAATGAATTCTGAAATCTGTTAAATGCATGTTGTCTGGATTTTTTTTAAAATTATTCCACATATTATTAAAAGGAACTAATTTTTCTTATGTTTTTCGATGGAAGACATTTCTGTAACTAGCACACAAAAAAGACAATAACTTCGAAAATGTTTAACATCGAAAATCGTAAGAAAAATGAATCCTTTTTAATAATATCTGGAAATATACACTCTTTGTCTGATGAAGCTTGCGAGACCAGAAGTCCGTGTAGCAAAATAAAGTATAATATTTTTTTTAAAAAAATCCACATTACAATCAAAAACGTTTGCGGTTTCTCTCTTCTTTTTAATATATAAACTTTTCTCTAGTTGAAACAATTATAACCTTTTCCCTTTATATATAAATAATTTATAATACTCAGAAGTTCATATCCTCAAGGACACATGGCACAGTGGATAAAGGCGTTGATTAGATCCAGTGACAGACCCAAAGAAGGTGAGTTCAATACCTGGTTAAGGCAGTGGAGAACTTTCAGAGGGAAAATTAGCAGGAGATAACTGATAACTGACATAGTAGTAGTAGTAGTAGGAGGCTTCGGGGAGGTAAAACCGGCCCTGAACCCGTTTATACGGGTTCAAATGGGCTATTTTTTGGCCGAGCCTAATGGCTCGGGAATGCCCACGTTAAAAAGGCTTTGTGCCACATGACACCCTCGTGGGGTGGGGGGTGACTCAATATCGATAACTGACATCCATCAAACATGGCACGTGGAACTAGAACAGTCTACCCCAGTGATCGAAATAAAGGGTTCAGTTCGAAATTCCAACCACCTGAAGAAGGCCGGAGCGTACAACGGCCGAAACGTTGTGACAAATATGGCGACAAAGATGAGGACAATAGTCCGACTAATGTAAATACTGAAGAAAACTCTTGTTCGCATAAAAAATAAATGAATGGCAAAACTTAACAGAATTTGCTAAATGAAATTTGGTATATGTGAAAGTGGTAGGTATATAGATTTATGCATTTTCGAAACCAAATGTATAAAGATTTATGTTAGACGCCCCAACACTCACTCATTAAGTTGGTTAACGCTACATCTCTCGGACCAGTACTCCAAACTTGCGCATTTAAACCAGCGTGGAAATGTAGCCACTTTCATATGTAACATACATGTCGACAGCATATACGTAGCACCTACCTGCAACTGAAAAAAAAGTCACTAAAATTTATCGAATTCCTTATGATAAAATATTAAAAAAAAATAATCGAAGTACCTTTTCAGCCATTTTTAATGAAACACGTACAATGTTTGAATTTATTATTAAAACTGCAATTTAAGTATCCCAAAAAATTGCTTTTATAGAGATTTTAAAACATTGTTGCCATACTCATAATTAATTTTATTTACTGTTGGTTTCATTTTTTATATAGAGCGCTTCGAAAAATTTTTATTTTTATTTTCATAGTGGAGTATACTCGTATTGTCAATTAATATTTCTCTAAAAATTGAATGGAGATAGGAATGTTTAAAGGAAAATTCCTGTCTTCATTCATGCTGTGCAATTGAACTTGAATCCGATATGTGCAATGCAAAAACTCTTAATAATGTTGTTGTCGTGAAACCAGCATATACATTCTCGGATTAACTGCAGCGTGAACTTGAGTACGTCAGGACAAGTTCCGAATTCTTCAGACGCAAACAAGGTTAAGGGTAGAGCAGTAGAGGGAGTTATACATGTTCATACCAACAATATTGTTGGCGGAAAAAGAGTTAAAGTTATCAAAATTATCTTTTTTGTGAAGAATGTCAAAAGTCCTACTGAAATAATAGCCATACTAAAGTTGCGTATGCCGACTTGCTAGGAAAAAATTGAGTGTGTGAATAGCACAGGCAGCTTAAGAAAGGGTGAAGAATTGAGTACGATGACTCAAAAAAATGGGCAGTTAAAAGCAGAAAGAACAGATAAAAATGTGGACACAGTGCGAACATTAGTGTACAAAATCGAAAATTAAGTGTGTCATCGATAGCAGAAGTACTGAACAGGAATAATGAAACTGCATTTGATTCTAGTATTGGATTTGGGGAAGTGGAAACGGTTATCAGGTTTCGTTTTTTAGAAACAATGAAATTAGCGTCATAAAGTTTTATTCTTCTTGTTCATATTGTCACTAAGAACTGTGATATAAACCTTCATTTCTCTCTTTCAGTCGTCTGCCCTTCATTTCTATAGGATCAAAATTACATTAAAAGATTTTTTCCATGTTTATAATTCTCCTTTTCTATCACTTCATTTACCTAGGGATATGTTGTGCTAGCTGTTGTTTTGTCCAACACTAAGACGCTACACAACTAAAATATTAACTTGAAAAACTTGTTCTTAAATAGCCTTGTCAGATGAGGATTCCGTATATTACGCATGGCGTCCAACCCATTCAGAAATGTCTTTTTCTTCTTTTCTTGTAAATAATTTCACGTCAAGCATAACAATAAAAATACTAAGACGCAAAGGATTACTGAGTGTTAAAAAAAACGAGAAAAATATACTATTAAGGAACGAAGAAAATATGTAGCGGAAGTAAAAGACATAATGAACTTCCGGCGACATTCAATGACGCTTCCCGTCCCCGTCGATCAAAAAGACAACGTTTGGTGTGCTCCGTATGCAGGAGAGGATGGCCGGTGCGAACCCGAGAACGTCTGCTTGCAAAAAATATGGTCTAAGCGGTGCCTAGAATTTGTTGACGCAATTGCTATGTGTCATGCATAGCGAAATTACCGATGTTTCTGGGCTCAATATAAACAGACAGGTTTTTGTTTCGTCAGTCTGAAAGTCGCCATTATGGCTAATGTGAGGACGTCATGGTTGAGATTTCCTTTTTGTTCGTCGTTTCTTTCAGTGTTCCGGTTACATTCCACCCTCCTTTACACCGATCTTTTGTAGAGTACTTCGTCGCCTCTTCCATGGACTTATCTCTGTTTTATTTATTTATTTGTCTCCAGTGTCGCTTCTCGTTACGTCCCTCCTCGTTTGTGTTCCAGCAATAGAAAAAAAAACAACAAAAAAAAACAACTTCACAATAAAAGAACGATAATTAAGCAGACAACGATTGACATTGGATTAAATTTTTTTAAAGATCAAACTTGATAGGGAAGCAAGAATCC